GTAGGAGTGGGAGTGGGAGTGATGTAGGGTGAGAGTGGGAGTGCTGCCACAAAGTAACACTTACGACACAGATTGGCTGTACGAATAGGTAGTAAGGGGTATGAAAAGTTATGTAGATGTATCGTAATTATTTTTTATAGAACTTATAATACTAATTTGATAATGCGAAAGTAACTATAAAAATGTACTCAAATGAGCATATAAAAATACACTATACCGTGGATATACTTATTTTGACCTTAATAAGCTCTTTGCAGTACATTGTGTACACGTGTCTTATGCGATTTGTAAAATAAATAAATAAACAGCCTAAATAATTAAAACTTTTACCCAAAGTTACTATTCCACGTGGACGAAGTCGCGTGCACAGCTAGTTGAGTATAAATCTTTAAGATAATTATGATAGTTTTACAGAATATTATTCTATATTAATATATCATATCTCAAGTATTGTTAACAGATAAAAAAATACCTTTGTAAAAATAATTATATTATAAACTCTACAGACTGCATTCAATGTGTTTGAAACGCTTTCTACGAGCTACAGCGTAGACCTTAAGTTATGGACATATAAATATTTCAAAATTATAATACAAATATGTTTGTATTATTTCTAAACGCCATTTAAATTCATTGAATTGCACAATTTTTCACTATTTAAGTAAAATAATTCAATTCCCATAGCATTTCTTATTATGAAAATAACCTCAGCTTATATACCTTAAGTGGTATATAAGCTGTGGTTAACTCCGATTGGCATTTAATTTAATTACTTACAAGTGTTTAATCTATTTAAACATTGTAACTGTATTAATGATATTATTAATCTGTGCTGCGTAACAGAATTGTTTAATAGCGATTGTTAGGAAGAGGTTATACAGATGAATATAATATGTATATTTACACATTGCGCGGTAAAAATCTTGTTTTTTCCGCGCAAATTTCTTTGACATTTGAACACCTGTCAGATGTTGACAGATTGTTATACTGAATATTACTGGCACCTTAGAAAGATTAAACATAATCTATAAAATGACATCTTTAATATACTAATATTATAAAGCTGAAGAGTTTCTTTGTTTGTATGAACGCTATTCTCTGGAACTACTGGTTCGAATTGAAAAAATATTTCTGCCTTAGTTGGGAAATTAACAGAGGAAAGGCTTTAGGCTATAAAACATAAACTTTAGAATATAAAATACGAAGAAACACTGGGAATAACACGGGCAAAATAGTCATCTCTGGGTTTCCGCTCCCTGCGCTACGACAACGGTTCAAGACATATTTAATTTCCTTATGAGTTGCTTTGTATATCTATTGTTTTGTTACAATGATGTAATATTTTTATAGCTATCCTAATCGTATCTTTATAGACCTAGACTTACCATTGAATCGACGATAATGTCAGAACTGTCGCACACTGTTGTACTGTTATGCTCAGCTATTATTAATGACAATGCAAATAGAACATGCGCGATTTATTGCGTATGCGCATGTTATAACAAAGGCGTTTTCGTAGTTACTAGACCTAATTACGACTGAAAGTATATTAATTGGGTGTGTAGGATATAGTTGTTTAGATAAAAAAATGACAAGATAATTAAATATTTTTTGATTTTTTATTATTCCTAGATTTTTCCCGTGATCACAGTAAACGTAAGTTAAATAATTGTTAGTAAACGATTTATAAAGAAAGAAAGAAATAATTATTTTTTTGGCATGAATAAAAATTCTGCAATGCGAAATGCATTATGCCTGGCCCGGCGTTAGTTAAAATGTTTTATGTAACTAATGTATTTCGCGTTTTAACCCGTTAAAGTGTTTTATTAAATAAAAATTTGACTAAGATCGTACATTATTCGATACTAGCGAAGATTCAGTCAATACGTTTAACCATTTCTTTTAATATTCAATTTATTTTCGATTTTTAAATAATATAGTGCCATCATGTGCAATAAGATGTGATATATAATAAAGTTTTCAAATAGTTCAATTTGTTTCTTAAATACTTACGAAATTAAATTATGAAACATTGATTCTAAATTGCACTTTAAAAATCATGTGTTTGCTATCTGGGTCCTTCAAACAGTTTGAATTGTTTCACGAAATTTTCGAGTTCATATAATAAATCTACGACAAACATGATCTTGATGACTTGGCTTATTTATATTTGTTAAGTCTAAAATGTTAATCTACAATAGCACAGTGACCGAAAAGGGTTAACTTAACTCTTACACAAATAGTAGAAATTCATTTTCGCTTTAGTTAATCGCGCTTTCTTATTTTTCTCCTTATTGAAAATCATGTTTTTTGTTATTAGGCCACCTGATGGCTCTAGCTTTAGATAAAATGTTTTCCGTTAGTACACGGGATGTTTTTTCATATTCAACATTTTTTTTTTGCGGACGGATGAAAAAGACGTGGGATTTGAATGTGAAGTTTAACGCGGTCTCCAATTATACTACAAGACACGTATTTTAATATTTCCTATGTTTTACGAGATTCGGTGTCGTGGTTGACGTTGGCATTTGGAGTTTGCGGATAGTTCTTTATATTTTCAACCTATAACTGTGCTAATACTCCATAACATGTAAAAGAGTTTAAGAACAAGTGTATCACTCTGCCATGGTGTCGTCGTAGCATATGATAAATATTATCCATTTTTAGGTTGAACACGCTAATCTCAGCAATTACTGGTTCGGATTGAAAAATCCTTTTTGTGTTTGTTAGACCAATTATTGAGGAAGGCTATATTATAACATCACGCTCGTCATATTATATAATAAAATAAAGAATGAAAAAACGGCCGGGTGTGTGGAAAAAACTGGGAGAATTATTCATCTCTGCGAGTTACCTTGCGTGCGCTGCGAAAACGGTTCAAGATACCCAAAAAATATTAATGATATAATTATTTCTTATTTAATGATCTCAAAAAATGTCCGCGACCTTTATAATAAACCTATCTTTTAAGAGTAAGAGCAACAACGACGGGGCGAACGTGAGTAAAAGCTATAATTGTTAAAAAGGAGGAGGTGTGATGCCCCAAATAAATATTCTACAAGATAAGAACTCTAGTGTTGATACTGAATGTAAAATTGATTTATAATTCCCAGCCTAATAAATAAATTATATTAAACCTCTAATCACAGACCGAAATCCAAAGTGTCTTGTTAATAACACTAAATAATCTCTATTCATCAGCGTTCAGTTTGGATTGTCTGGCCTGTGCCAATACACTAGTTGATTATATTAAATCGTGTTTATTTTGTTTAGTTTTGAGTGACAGATAATAGTAAATTACAATATCATTGTAATTATACAAACTTTGCTCTTTTAAAAAGCAAAGTTTCGCAGCTTTATAAAAAACAAAACTTGTCGTGAAGTTAGCCTTTGACTGGCATGGTCATGTTATGTTGATATTAACAAACGGGTTGATTCCCGGTTTTAACACATTGTCTAATTATTAAAAAAAAAACACTTTAACGGCATATACATCGGGTTCTACTCGCGTAAACTACAATTCCTTCGAAGCGAGCTTTTTTTCCTTTTTGAGCACGATCTATTGCCCGAAAAACCGCGTAGGCAAAATCGCTTAGCCTGAGAATTTTCTAACGTACAAAGCCTAAATACATACAGATACTAAATACAGAGCATCTAAAAAATTCATACATTGATAGATGACGTATTTTATAGATAGGTAGAGCACGAAAACAAAAGTCGAAAGCAAATTTAATAGAAGAAGCAAGATCAACACAACGGACGGATGCGGCTTATTTTAAACACCGTACATAAATTACCAAATTTTTTCTAGCGTTGCGGAAACGTTTTATAGTAGATAATTATTTGCGCAGGAGTTTATATGTTTTTATAGTCCGTATACTTTTGAATAACGAACGTTAATCAAAAGCGATATACATAACAATTTCAACTTACATAAATATTCAAAGCCAAAATAGCACATGTTGTTTAGACGATGTAATATGGTTGGTGTATTTTACCTACCATGAAGTGAACCTCTATCATAAAACAAATAAAGCTCAGACATTGTTTTGTGTCTGTTTAATGTGTACAACATACGTATAGGGTATGGCTTAGGTACAAAACATAGAAGAACTAGTTATTTTTATGTCAATAACAGTAGTTTTAGTAATTGCCTAAAACAATTATATAATAAGTATTAAGAATGTAAAAGTACCGACATTGAACACGAACCATCTTGCAATTTTGTATTCCAATAGCATCTAACGCCATCTAGCGTTACTTTATAAAACTTTCAACAACGCCATCTCTTGATTCTCCTCCACAACGTATCGATCTCGTTCAGACTTCAACTGAAAGAAAAGCTTTCAGTCGCCGCAAAACGTAAATAATCTAAGAAATTTATGTACAGTGAACTTGGTCTCGAAATAGCTCAGTTTGACATGTGTAGAGTCGCAACATGTAGCTTTTTATTTGCAATTTTGGCGAAACTTTCAAAATAAAACTTATTACTGATAAGATATAGATGAAATTCAACATGGACTCAGGGTAACTATGGGTTTTGTCATGGTTTTGAGTTTGGCTATCAAATAACTATATTTCGGTACATTCACGGTAGACGTGCTTTTGTTTTGACTTTTTATAACCTATTACGCCTGTGTTTTCAATTAATAGTCAGAAAGTATACGAACTTGCCTTACATATGTAAAAACAAGCATATTTCAAAATTACTCTCTCACAAACGAAATATATTCATATAATATATTTTGAAATTAATTTAAATATTTTTAGGTTTTTCTGATGTTGTTACGAATCTCCTAGTATTTTATAACAGTTCTTATTCGTTATCGGTATACAGATATCATATTTTTTATGATTTAATTATTAAAATAGAGTACCTTAACTTCATCATTCAGAAAATCTGAGTTAAATTTCATAAATAAAACCAAGGTACCAGAAGAGCATCCTTTTGACCAAGCGCGCTGGTATTCTTTATGTAATTTAAAATATTATTTTTTCAGAGGCAGTGAAAAGAGGCTGGGCGACGCTAGCGACCCCTGCTGGTACATCGACTCAGCTTATGCATCATCGCTAAAAGTTTCGCTACGTCTACCAACAAGACAGTTTTTAGAAGGTTAGTCAATATATCTACATACCCGGGTATAACCGATTCAAAGTTAACCATAATATAAAAAAAAACTCGACTTAAAAACCTTAATTGGTCATCTCAAGTTTAGTACGCAGAAATTGCCGTATGCAGACAGTAGCAATCAAATTTACATAAGTAGATATTGATATGTTTTAAACACTTTCAGACCTCTATCTACCTAGCTACCAACAAAGTGATCTGAAAAGATTCGTTATGGGTATGTCAAAGTTACATTTACCCCAAAATCCTGAACAATGATCATGTAAAACTTGTATGTTTCATTTGCTAATGTCCATATCCTATAAAACCGATGTAGAGATCTGCATGAATCGCATAATTTCTTACATCAAACAGTACAGTGTAAATAGCGCCATCTTTGAGGTAACACGCAAATCAAATGTATGTTTTACGAGTGACGTTAGTTTTATATATGGCCGATAGATGGCGCAGTAGGTGTTTCTGTTCAAGTTTCCTTCTAAGAATCGCCACATTGACGCAACTATCATAATCTTTTACGATGACAGGTGGTTTTTAATAACTTGTCATATTTTGTATATTTATGTCACATCTTATTCGTGTTAACAAATTGTCGTATATATTTAATGAAGGGCGGGCGTGAGAGCGTTTAAATAATTTAGATTCTACATCTGAGCCCTAAAGTAACAATCAGGATTGTAAATTAATTATAGTGATGTATGTTTTAATTAAAAAATAAACTATTCTTTAAAAAAACACAGTAGTCTTTAAAGTCAAAAAGTAGAATGCAATATTTGGGTATCTAAAACCATTTTCGCAGACTACTACAACGAAAAACTTACAGATTTTTTAACGTTTGTATTGTATTTTAGATCGCAATGTGATGATAGCATAAGACCTTCCCCGATAAATGGACTTTCTAAGACAATAACATTTGTTCAATTCGAACTAGCAGTTCCTGAGATTAAAGCGTTCAAACAAACAAATATACAAACTCTTCAGCTTAATAATATTAGTATAAGTTACATAATATAAACAGTTACTATTAAATACAAGTAAGAACGTAAATTGTACCAATATTTAGAAATGTGAACTGGCTTTATTTTAGCACTTAAAGATTGACATGACTACAGCAGGTGGATTATGTTCTAGAATATTTAGCATCTGGAATCTGGATAGAGTTACTGAATGTTGACTTTTACTTTCACTGATGACCTGGAACTAACAAATATTAGTATAAAGAACTAGACAATCTGGTGATTAAATTGTTTACAGTTTTTACATTTGTAATTAATTGACTTTTATCCCCTTAAATACTGTCAATTCAATTTTAAGGTTTAAAACGCGAAATGTATTAGTTAACGTTCCTCTTACAATTAATGTACTATAGAGGTTATAGTAACGAGCTCAGGCAAAAGTGAAATATCGTTAAATACTGTCTATAGTTTACGCGAGTAGTACAAATTTAAATAACACACATTAACGGTTTAAAACGCGATATATTAGTTAAACTTATTTGGAAATGATTTTTAACTTCGGGCCGAGTCGTGTCTCCCCGTGACCACGGCTGCTGCAAAACATCCGAAACGTCGGGCCGAAGTTAAAAACCATTTTCAAATAAGTTTAACTAATATATCGCGTTTTAAACCGTTAAAGTGTTTTATTTAAATGAAATATCGTGTCCATTATTCTTAAAGGGCGGTCAACTGATACGTTTTATTTACAGGCAAGTAGTTAGTCGGATTTATGTCCAAACGAATGGTTTGGTCGTTTGGTTCGGTACAAAGACCCCATGTGCCCTTAATAATGGTTTAAGTTTAAAACACATATTCGTTATTTATGTTCAATATAGTAAAGGAACATTTTTCGACGGATTCGTTGGTAATGGTAGCAATGTATTGCTGATAATCGACGTGTCGTGGGTACGATCCCCACCAATATTACTCGACAGATGTTCATTGATTTATAATTTATCTGAAACCGTATGGACGACATCTGAAAACTCCGGATATTAAATGAATGGTGGGTATATCGTAAAAAAGGGGTTTTAGCTCGTAGATATCCGAATGAAATATTATACCTCGCACTAAATGGATCCAATGCTTGCCTATATTCTGTCTCATAATAAATATCCTGCCTAACGATTTATCTAAAATAGCTTTACACGCAACAGCGCTACATACCCACGCCTTCCAAGCTATTTCTACAATTAACAATGAATAAAAATTCTGATAGACGCGTTCATATAAAATTCTCCACGTAATGTGTTCAAATGAAGGAGGGTTGTGCCAAAAGCAGCCGTGGACGCTGTAAATTAGTTGATTGCGTGGGCGCACGTCTACCTAATGACTCACTGGTCACTGGACATCGGGTTTAAAATAAATACTAAATTCCAGTTAAATTATTAACCGCCAGGCGCAACTGACGAAGTGTTAGCCAACTTCATTTAAAACCTATATTATACTCGCTCGTACTCGTCAGAACTTATAGTCTGATTAACTGATTTAATAATCATACGAGCAAAAACCAAAAAATAGTTTGTATATTGTTAAATAAAACATGGACACGGGGAGAGTGGCGTGGACACGGCTGCTGCAAAGCATCCGAAACGTCGTGGCCAAAGTAAATCATTTTCAAATAAGTGTAACTAATATATCGCGTTTTAAACCGTTAAAATGTTTTATTTAAATGTGTACTACTCGTGTAAACTATAGACAGTATTTAGTATATTGTTGTATATATTAATCTCAAATCATTTTCATAACATTATTACAAACAACTTTTAAGTCTAGTTTAATAATTGTGTATCTACAAAAAAGTGCTTTGTAAATTAGGAAAGCACTCGGTGTGCATCACCTTAGAAGCGGTGAAATTTGCTTTTCAATGCCTCCTTCCGGGGGGTAAGCAGAGGCTATCAACCGCGGAACAAATTATATTAAAAGTAAAACAAATTATATAAAACATAACAGAACTTTAATACGTCGTATTAAGCATTCAAATAGACATTTAATTAAAACACACGAACGGTTTCAAACGCGAAATATACCAGTTAAACTTATTTTAATTATTTTAACTACGGCCCGACGTTTCGGATGCTTCGCATCAACTAGAGTAACGGGCAGCCCCTTGTCTTCCTGCGTCATATTTTGTGTTCACCCATTAGTGTTTTATTTGTAACTACTCGCGTAAGCTACGGACAGTGTTTGTGCCTACATGTTACCATTTAATGAAATAGACCAATAATCGACAAAAAATATCGTCACGAACTTGTTGCAATAGCAGGAAAAAAAACATAATATTAATATTAATTCGTTTAAATAATAAAGTGTAAATATTTCAAAGATCAAATTTCTTAAGATGATGGAGACGCGGTATACATACTAAGACCCGGCCTGCCACACTACATCACTAAATTTAGTTTTTATAGTTAGATAGTAGAAGCACATTTTGCTTCTACTATCCTTAGTACGGAAAAATATAAAAAAAAATAATCAACTGTCAGACATATCGCGGTCTTATTAATTGATGTTTACAAAGATCCCCGAGCGTTTGGGAGATATCCAACAATTTCCAGAAATGGCTAACGAAATAGTTCGCATAATTTATTCGTATTTAAGTTATTATTGCGTTTTCTTCGACTTTTCCATTCCAAATTCAAAATTGTCAAAATTTAATTGATATTTACGAACTAAGAAATATTACAAGTTTTTTAAATTATCCTATAATAATTAAACATGTTAAACTTTGTCTGGACCTTCAACAGGTGGTAGAAATAACGAAATCCACGTTACGACGTTACACAGTACAGTAGGAAAAGGCCTAAAGTGTTTTAAATACTAATAAAAAAAAATTGACGAGCTTTTTGACTGATTGGTAATGTTCACTCCCTAATGAACCAATATTTTTCTAATTAATTTATAAGTTGACTCAAACATATTGGACTTCGTCTGGACTTCCGGATTTTAAATGCGCGGTAGGACTATCGAAATTCCGTCCAAGTCACGTGTAGGCGTACAGATGTGAAAGCCGTGATGGTCAGTGGCTGGAGTATTTACTTACAAGCGAATCTCATACCTAAGATGACAAACTGCCGCTAAGCAATAAAAGCCAAACGAGGAATAAAAAAATATTTAAATTTAAATAAAAAGTTTAAGATATTTTAAATTATTGGAAATGATTTTTAATTCGCCGAGTTTCGGATCTTTCACACCGTGTAAAAAATTAAATTAATTTCCTTAAAAGTTTTTTTTATTAATCAGTATTTACACAAATCATTCTAACTCATAATTGTCGTCTACATTGAATAGTTATTTTTATTTAAGTTAGATAAATATTTAGCTAATTGCATCTACGCGCTGATAATATGCAGCTGCAAACGGCATCTGGATAAACGTCATATCGTTTGGCAGCGCTTCAAAGTATGAAAAAAAATGTAAAACTACGCGATACGTGACTCATAAGCGCCGGCTTTTTTCTCAATTCCACTGATTCATAGGGATTTCTTATTCTATTACAGACTATCATGTGCCAGAAATACAAGCGATTATTAAAAATTGTCTTCATCTTACTCAGCCAAATATCTCTAAGGAATTTCAAACTTTTGAGAGAAACCACGAAGGAGAGAATAAATGATTTTTTTAATAAGAATGGTATTGCATAATTTAAAAACAATTGAAAATCAATTATAATTTAGTCTTTACAACACCTGTAAAGACTTTCGAATCCCAAGGAAACAATAAAATTGAAAACATTAATGTTGTTTACATGTTATTGCACATGAAGGCACTATTAATTTAAAATCGAAAAAAAAATAAAAATTCTGCCCGAGTCGAAAATTTTTTCAATTTATTTTCGATTTTTAAACAATAAAATTGTTTCGTTCGGGCAGGGCACAGAAGTCTAATCAACTGCAAATAAAACCGATCAGTGAAACGGTTCAGAAATGTGTTCGCCCCATGCCCCACAAAGGGCAACGGGATTTCACTTTACTTACCTACGTCTGGTGTACA